TGTTGGGAACATGGAAATTGTTTTTATAAATAGCACATAACCACTTGCCATGTTCAGTTAACTAATGAGTAATGGCCTTGTTATTGAGTTATCAACAACTACGTTACTTCAACTTGGTTGTAGGAGTCGGTTATGGGTATGCTTTTTGCCTCATGTTATTGAGTTGTTAACAACTATGTTACTTGGACTTGGTAGTAGGCGATGGTTATGGGTATGTTTTCTACACCGATATGTTCAATTCTTTTTCAAGTTTTTCTTTGTATTTTAGAGGTTCTTTTGTATGTCATGTCCTCGCAACTATGTCTGAACATGTGGCTGACATGGGTAATTTAAGCAAAATGAAGAGTTGAAGCAACATAGGTCAACAAATTTATCACTAGTATAAAGTTTGCAATACCTAGGGGTGAGCAAAACTTGATTCGACTCGAAAAAATCGATTTTATTGAATTTCGAGTTATTTGAGTCAACTCGAATTAGTAATTCAGACTTCAAGTTTGAGTCTACTTTGAATTTTAAAAGTTTGAATAATTGACACACTGAATATTAAAACTATGTCGTTTTTGGTCTTTAGCTTTAGCCAAGTAATTTGATTGTTTTATGATTTGGTCCTTGATTATCTTGTTTTTTTTATTTCCTTACTCGCCGTAAGTTCATTTTTTGCCAAACTTGAGCCACATGTTCCTCAACCATAGAATCCATGTAGTATTAGTTTCTGAATTTCAAAAATTTTCCACTCAGCTCAATTGAATAATCACCCCTAGCAACTCCAATCTTGAGCTTCCTCATCAGTCTGAATTAGTTTCTGAATGCCTTGGCATCATAGTGTTGTATCATTTTCATGTTTTATTCCATATAGGTGAAAAGGTTGACAATGGTACTAGTCCTGTACCAAAAATCTCATTGTGCTTCTCTTTCTTTACAACATTTTCTTGTCAGTCTCCTACTACTCCGATCCTTTTTTCATTTCTGTTCGTCCCATTTGACTGATATACCTGTAGATCATTCACTTTTTTTCCGAGTTAGCTGGGTTTTTTTTTCTATGAGGTGGTTTTAGTTACCTGCAAGTTACTTTAGAATCATTTCCACACAAATTGGAACTTCTGTTGACTGTGTGACGATAATTTCATTTCATCTTCTGCAAGCTTGGAGGATCCGAAACCGGAAAATCTTTGATTCCCTTCATGTTTTGATTTTGAGGAAAATAATATGTTTTCTGTCAACCTAAAGGTGTTCTTGACTGAGCAAAGCAGAAAGATTTTTAGTAAGAGATAATGCAACAGCAGGTATATCGATTGGCCAAGTTGTTCACCGGTCATTGCAAATATTGTTCTCTCTGCAGAAACATTCGTCGGTTGTCGGCCTTTTGATGTCGTTTTAAGAATGCATATCATTTTTGCAATGCTAATGACCGTTTTTGTTAATTATCCAGACTATTGTGACAAATATGCCAAGCCAGAAGACATTGGAGCAAAGGCAGAGGACAAGTCCAGTGATGAAGAGTTGAGCGAAGATGAATACGCCGCCTCCGCCGACGAGGAAATCGCCGGGAAAGCTGATCCTTAGGGCAACATAAGATCCCCCTTTTCACTAGTGAAATTGTCTGTGTTGTTGTACATTGATATTATCACTCCAGGAAAATTTGAACTTGACAAAAAAACTGTGGGGGGCCTACCGACCCCCTTTGTTTCTGTCTAATTTTCCATGGATGTTGTGTAAATTAAATCAACTGTGGCTTTGATATTTCAAAAACATTCATCCTCTGTTTTAAGATCAAGAAAAAGAAAACATGTTTCTGCTTAAGGTTTCTTCCCTTCCATGTGATTTTTGCATGAATTAAAGCTTTTACCATTGGGAAGCTCCATGACCACACAGGAAAATGTAGGGAAAATCCTGGGTAAAAGCAAAAATCTCTGGATCTGCATGAGTAGATTCCTTTATTACACTAGGAAATCTCCAGTGGATCTTGTTCTCTGATATGTTAGGTTTCCGACAGAACTGCAGAAGAAAATATATTGAAAGTGATAAGAAGTAAGTTCAGTACTGACAAACACCGGCATTGCACCCTCCACCATCTACCTGCCATTTTCGTCATTGTAGACGACATGCTAATTTAATCTAATATGATTGTAACCGAAAATATTATTAAAAAATAATATTTTTTATTGTTAATTGAAAATATTATTAATAATATAATATTTTTTGGTTTAATAAAAAATGTTAAAAGAAAGTTTACATTTTAGATCGAATTCGATTAAAAATGTTAAGCTTTTTATAATAATTTCGATTTTCAAGTTTTTTATAAGAAAGTTTACATTACTTTTATTCAATAAAAATAGAGAATTAATAGGAAAAAATAATATATGAGGGTATTATTATAATTATCCTGAATTCAATTTTAATTAAAAAACGATCCATTAGGATTGGGATCGAACCTAACCCGTCAAATTCGAATTAGGTGCCATCCCTAAGTTAGCTGCTAATATGGTGTTTTAGGCAGGTTTAAGTTCAAACCAGCGGATCATACGAAATATCAAAAGACTATTGGTTTATAAGTAGTTAGATATTGATTCAAAGTTTTATTTTTAATTAATCACTGGTATCTGATCTATTGACCGATTAATCCATATCGGGTACTATAGAGGCGAGGGCGACCTCCCAACCCAGTTTGCTCCATTCGCAAACGCCAAGATTCAAAACTCTGACATTGCTTAAAGAACCTAGTGCCTCATCCCACTGGACCAACTGATTGTTGGTATATTGATTCAAATTTTAATTAACTATTAAAATATTATTTAATAATTAATTTTATTTAATAGACTATTGTTTAATAATCTTTCATTTTCGTTAAAAACATTTGTATCTCACATAAATATGAATAAAATTTCTTTAAAAACAATAAGAAAATACTTTAGAAAACACTATCACCACTTTCTTTTTAAATTTATAAATCTAACCCAACACCACTTTCTTCCTAAACCAATCCAAAACATTTGTGCTCAATGTTGTCCTTCTTTTTCAAGATAATTATATTAGGTATCTTCAAATTATGACAATATTTTATATTAGTCTCTAAATTTTAAAATATTTTAAATTGATCATCAAATTATCAATATCAAATCATATTGGTCATTTTGTTAATTTAAAAAACTATTTAAGCATTAAATATCAATTTAGAGTCAACGTAGAGCATTAAACTATTTGGGCATGTCCTTAGGCGAAAACCGTCGGATACGGTCAGGAGGGTAGAGTCGATCAGTCGACGGTGCCAGAAGGAGAGGACGACCAAGGAGGAAGTGGGTAGACTGCTTGAGATCTGATTTGAATGATTTAGCCCTTACCGAGGACATGACCTCTTATAGGAAAGCATGGAGACATAAGACTAGGATAGCCGAGTAGTATGGGTCACAACCATAGGGTGTAGCATCTCTGTTTTCTTTTTAATGTCTTTGTAGTAATTTTCATGACTTATACTTTTTATATGTTTATGTAATTGGAATTTATGAAGGCTTAGAACTAGGGTAGCGTAGTAGTGTTGCCTTAGTTTAGGTTTTAACCCATTTGACTATATTACTTCTCGTAAATTGCTATCGCTGACTTCTGTGTATCATTCTCTTCATGTTTTCTCCTTTTAAATTTAGTCGGGTCCTACGTTTCTGTCTATATGCAGGGATTTTTACGCATGGATTTATTTGCAGGGATTACTTCCCATTCAGACGCGCATACGAAGACTGTTCAACTATGTATTTATTTATTTATTTATACATGCATTGTATTTTATTTTATTTTTAATTTTCTGACTGCCGGAGGTCTTCCACGGAAGCTGCTCTCAATCTGGCGTTGGGGGCAACCTACTACCCTAACTCCCCCTTACCCTATTGCATATGGAAATAGGGTTTTGTTGTTGTTGTTGTAGAGCATGTTTAAATTTATGGATCAAATTTTAAATATATGTATTCATATTACATAGACAATTTAGATTTATTGCGTAAAAAATAAACTGTCGTTAAATTGTCACATGATTATTTTTAAATAAAACATATCCAAGTTTTCGATATAAAATGTTTAAAATTTGATGCATATATTTTAAATATGAATAGAAACATAGGTAAGCTGACATTTGATGTTAAAAGAGTTTGTTAAATTTTAAAATAATATTGATAGTTTAAAAACTAGTTAAAAATATTTGGGTAAACTACACGTTTATTATTTAAATTATCAATTTTTTCCATTTTAGTTCCTAAACATTCATTTTTTTCAAAATCGTACATAATATTTAGTTTTTGTTTCATTTTAAAACCATGTCATTAAAAACTTAACGGACAAGCTCGTCGATCATCGCGTCTACAGTCGTAGACCGTCGTATCCATTGGTTGATGAAGCCTAAACTTTTCAACTTGTACTCTTTTGACCCCCGAACGTGATTCTGGCTTCCATTTCACCAAAAAAACACCTTAATATCCCCAAATCGACGATTGACTCTTTCATTTCTTCATTCTTCGATCTCCTTGGTCCACCGTGCGATGGGCCTAAAACTGAACTATGTTGGTCGACTCATCATTCTCTTGTGGTCCATCGTTCGGATTGGTTGTCCGTCCACCGAAACTATGTCATGTCATCATGTTCATTAAGTTTTGAACGACGAGTACTAAAATTAAACAAAAACTAAAATGTGAGTATGATTTTTGAAAAACAATAAAAGTTTAGGTACTAAAATAAACTAAAACTGATAGTTTAAGTACTAAACATGTAATTTATCCAAAAAAATTCAAAATTTATAGATAATTTAGAAATTGAACCCATAATTAAGGGATGCCAGGTCCAATTAACTCCATCTTTTCCCCTCATGATAATCATTTCATTACAACAAATTAATGGTGCTTAATCAATGTCCCTTTCTCTTTAATCAACTCAATCATTCCCCCCTATTGTTCCAGTGTTTATCAACAAAACACATTCATTCATCGTCCCTATAACCCTATATCTAGCCACCCTACCATTTCAGAAACTGCAATCTAATCCCAGGATCTTGTCTTGTCTTGTCTTGTCTTGTCTGTCTGTGTTTTTAATAATAAAAATGTCAGAACTTGAAGATTCCTTAAAGCTTCCAGTACTTGATCTTAACGCCACTTCTTTGTATTCTTCTTCGTCATCTTCCCTGTTAAAAGCCTGTGAGGAATGGGGTTTCTTTTACGTCACCAACCATGGAATTCCACAGAATTTGTTTACCAAGATTCGGGAATTCTCGGACGATGTGTTCTGCCTTTGTTCCGACACCAAGCTCAAGCTCGGTCCGTCGTCGTGTCTGAAAACATACACTCCCCGGTTCATCGCTTCTTCTTACTTCGAGAGCTTGAGAGTGAGTGGACCGGATTTCTTTGCCTCTTCCCAGGCTTCCATTGACGAGCTCTTTGGCCAAGGGAGACCTGAATTCAGGTAATCATTTTCTTCGTCTCTTTTCTACCACCTTGATAATAATGCGGTTATGATCTATTTTTTTAAAATTACAATTAATTTAAAGGGTAAAGTTTATGTTTAGTATTTAAATTATTAGTTGTAGTCCGTTTTCTTATTCAAATTTTTAATTTTTTTCAAAACTATAACTAAAATTTAGGTTTTGTTTCATTTTAGTACCCAGTCTTAAAAATTTTAGTTTTTGTTTCATTTTAGTATCTGTTCAAAATTTAACGTTAAATTTTGAAAAAAACTAAAATTTTAGGCACTAAAATGGACTAAAACAGATAGTTTAGGTACTAAACGCGTTAAATTTTTAACGAGAGGGTATTAAAATGAAATAAAAACCAAACGTTATGCATGATTTTTAAAAAATGGAAGTTTAGGTACTAAAATAGACTAAAACTAATAGTTTAAATACTAATTATGTAGTTTACCCTTATTTAGACTCCCTCCTTTTTGAATGTTAAAGGGTAAAAGAATTGATCCGAATCAAATTTTATTAGTTTAGATTAGATATGAATATAAATTGAGTCGGGTCGAATTTTTCATCAATTCGAATTTGATCCGAGTATTTTATCCATTCACTAGTTATATATGACTCATGTTTAGAGAGATTTAACTGGATATTTGAGACAAAAATCATCTCATCTCGACTCAACACACACAATTATATTTTTATTAGATGAAATAAGGATCTAATTGAATATATAAGAGACGCTGAATCTAAGATTTTTCACCCTAAAGTCAATCTTACACGAGTCGACCTAAACCATATTCATCAAGTCTGAATCTCGTACCTATCTGTTTAGATCAATATAACACATTTGTTTTTCTTAATATTTATATAGTATATAAAAATTATTTTTCACATATTATATTATGTATATACACTAGAAAGTAAATTTAAAATAAATAAAATTAAATTAAATTTAAATAAATTATTTTTTTAATCTTTTGGATTGAAAATTAAATAATAACGAACACAAATAATATTTGAAACAATTAACTATCAATTAGTCTAAGGATGAAATATGGATCATTTATAAAAACTAAATTTAAAAAGTTAATTTTATAATAATATTTACAGTATTTGATTCGAAATAATCGAGTTATAAATCAGATAGTGATAATCATATAAAAATAATATTTGAAACAAAATTATTTTGAGAAACCCTAGATTGCAGATTATTGATGTGCATCGGTTCTCTGACTTCAGTGAGATATTACAAGAGTATGGGAGCAATATGACGAAGTTGTCAAAGAGGATCATTGAGATCATATTGAAGAGTCTAGGAGATGGTTACGAAAAGAAGTTCTCCGATTCCGAATTCGGAAACTGCCACGGATACATGAGGATATCGAATTACAAACCGCCGGATGACGTCGAAGAAAAGGAAGTGGAAGGGCTCGGAATGCATACCGACATGAGCTGCATAACGATCGTGTTCCAGGACGAGCTCGGCGGCCTGCAAATGCGATCGAAAGACGGCAAGTGGTTGAACATACATCCGTGTGAGGATTCGTTGGTAGTGAACATAGGTGACCTAATGCAGGCTTGGAGCAACGGCCGGTTGAGATCGTCCGAACACCGGGTGGTTCTGAGGCGGTTTCGGAACCGGTTTTCACTGGCATTCTTCTGGTGCTTTGAAGACCAAAAGGTAATTGTAGCACCAGATGAAATTGTGGGCACTGGAAATCCCAGAATTTACAGTCCATTTGTTTGCTTGAAGTACATGAAGTTTAGAGAAAGTAACGAGGTTGGTAATTTTGAGAAAATTGGGTACACAGTAAAAGATTTTGCTGGGTTAAAAGTTGGAGATGCAGTGATTTAAGTCATTGGCATTGACAAATTTGCCAGTAAGAGTTGTGGGGTTAAATTTCATTTACTGTTATGCAACTATAATATCATGTGTAATTCACTAGCAGTAGATATTTCTAATGCGTTGTATATCAAAACAGGTTATGACGAGAAAGTTTGTCTAAATTTTAGAGTTAATTACATCACACATCCTCACCATCATTCTAAATTTGTCTATAGACTTTTGAATACTCCAATTTTGTCCCTAAACTATGACTTTCTTTCTAATTTGGTCCAAACTTTTGAACATTTCAAATCATTCTAATTTTGGTCCTCACACTTTTGGACGTTCCAATAATGTCCCTCAAAATCATTCAAAAGTTTGAATTCTAATGACGTGAACAAAACAAAATGAATTAAAGAAGTCACTCTTATAATTAATCTCTATAATATCCGAATGGCGTAATAACAAAATTACCCCTATCGTTCGCATAAATGGTCATTTTGCCACTATCCTTTTTAGCATTTTATTCTAACCCCCAAGTTTTACTTTGGAGTAAATTGTCCCTTGAGTGGATGAAAATCGTTAGTTGACTAACGATCAACGCTTCCTACGGACGTGGCAAGTCCATGTGTGACGCCACTTCAGTAAAAAAAATATTTTGAGAGTAAACTCTAATCACAACTAATTACATATACACTTATAAAAATATATTTAAAAATAATTTAAAAATATTTTTTATAACGTGGCATCACATGTGGACCTGTCACACTAATAGGAAGCGTTGATCATTAATCAACTATCGATTTTCATCCACCTAGGGGGCATTTTGCTCCAAAATAAAATGTTAGGGGTTAAAATGTTCCAAAAAAAGATATGGGACAAAGTGATCATTTGTGCAAACGTTAAAGGATAATTTTGTTATTATTCCTATTTGAATCTGGTTTTTTTCCATTAATAAATGGGATATTGGGTAGTTACATAGAAAAATCAAAGGATGAGATATCTTTTTGGTAGTGGAAATTTGAATGGATTAACGGCAATCATCATGATTAAAACCCTACAAAATTCCATCAATTCAAGGCCCACACCCCACTCCTATTAAGCACCCTTGTACTATTTAAGATACGGCTTGTGGGTGAACAAAATATAATATTGCCAACATGTAAACATGGTGTAATCAAATCATGGATTGCCATGCCTCCACCATTTCCTGTTTAAAGCATTCGATGAGTGTTCTAGTTCACTTTTTTCTCAATGAAATTGCTGTTTACAAAGCTACATTATACCGCAATCGATTTTCGATTTTTCCGGTTCTCTTGCATTGCAGTCTCGAACCGACATGATCCGGAAACCTTATCGTCTGCTACGACTAGAATGTTACACAAAGGTTAAAGAACGAACTCTTTGTAACGCTTGCTTCACTGTTCTTGGTTTTGCAACACTTGATCCTTTGTACTGCAATAATCACAGATAACTTCGATCATCGGTGTCCGAAAAAGACATTAACAGATTTGGTTTCTTAAACGTTTTCTTATGAAAGCATGAGCAAAAGGGTCTTTACCTTGGAGTTTATAGTCATGGGGAGAATCCCATCCATGGTAGATGACTGAACCGAGTGGCAATCCAAATCGAGAATGCTTAGTGCATCCATTATCTCGAACAAAATTCCATCCAGCCATCGACATCTGAACTCGATTGTCAAATCCTTGTTGTTCATGCTGACGGTTAGATTATCAGTTGAGCCATCTTTAGATGCAACACAGTCGATGTCCTCACAGGCTTCCCTTTTATTTAAGTAGGATGATTTCTTTCCATTGGTGATTTTGTTATTGCCGTAGTTATCAGATGTTTGCTCGACATGATCCCGAATAGTTCTTTTTGTTCTTGTCTTCGACTCTGTTAACTCTCTGCAAGATTCCAATTCTCCAATCCGTCGCATGAGGTCTCGTAGGTATTCTATTGAATCATCTAGTAGAGAAACTTGATCTGCCTGCATGGTGAAAAACAGTTGATTAGCAAAGGCCATTGTATGAATAACTAAGGGTAACGGAACTACCTTGTGTCGTAACCGTCTTTCGGTTGGTTCCCGAAATTGGGCTTCGACTTAGAAAAATGTGGATTGGAGTCGCCACCGATCATTTATTTAAAAATAAATGGGTTGATCGGATACCCTATTTCTTACCTGATCTGCGTCTTACCAGAAATATGTCGGGCTCGGGAGTCGGTTACGGTTAAGGAAGGATTAGCACCCTTGAACCGCCCTTTCGGTACTACGTAATTTCCAGTTGTCTTAATTAAGAAAAATAACAAGTTAAATTAAAATGTAAAGTTTCAATCCTAATTACTTACCCTTGATTAATTTGAAAATATCCTTTAAAAAGAATCGAGAAATGTGTTAGATAAACAATGTAAAGAAAACAAATAAGATACAAGGGAAAAATAAAATAAATAAATAAATAAGTAAGAAAATATAGTAAAGTAATAATTATATATAGTAATATTTGAAAAAAAAAAAAAATAATATATATATATCAAGTATTAATAAAAAATAATATATACACTAAATACTTAAAAGAAAATACCCTCCCACCCCCGAAGTGGGGTGGGGGCTTTAGTAAGAAATAAGACAAAAAAAATGGACCATCTAGGTTAGTAGTATATAATATAATGTTTAATAATGATAATGATAAAGACACAATATTTTTTTCAAAGAAAATAATAATATAATAATAATGAATAAAAAACAAAATAATAAAAATAATATAAAATTATAAAGTTATAAATATATACATAAATAAAGAAAATCAAATAAAATAATTAAGAATATATATATTTAATAGGTATATAATAAACTATTAAAAGTATAAATATATACGACTAGATAAAGATAATATATATATAGTAATATTAGACTTATAAGTAAATATTAAATAAATATATATATAATAATAATAATATAGTAAAAAAATAAATGAAAATAATTTTATATATATATATATCATATAATAATAATACATGAATAATAAATAAATGAATAAAATATTCATATAATAAATAAAGGGACTAATATAGATTTTTTTAAAAAGTTCTTCCCTCCTTTAACCGAAAATCAAACCGGTTTTTAAAAATAAGCCTCGGGGTAGATCTAGGTTCGAAACTTCGAAACCCCACCCATTTTGGTCATCGGCGCAACCCACGTTTTGGGTTATTCGAACCAAATCTCAAGAAAAATAACGTGCACATGCAAAAGAAAGAAAAAAGAAAATGCTACCTTTTATTTATTTTTCGAATCCTTTACAATAGTTTTGCCTTTGTATCTTCCCGTGCTTTCCTCTATGTTTTATGTGTAAATCGTCCGTTACAATGGTGAGTTACAATGGCTATTTATAGTGCTTGTGGATCCTATCTTTAGGAATTTAAATAATAGTAGAACTCTATCCTATTTTTAGGAGTTTGAATCCTAACAAAATTTCATCCTATTTTTAGGAGTTTGAATCCTGAAATTCTATCCTATTTTTAGGAGTTTGAATCCTAGTAGGACGAAAAATGTGTGTTGACAGCTGCCCCTCTTTGCCCATAGTCGTGTAACGGGGATAGGGCAAAGATTAAAAGACACTTTTCGTTCAGTGGAGTTGAAAATTAACTCTGATGTTTCAATAACTCCCTGTCGAATTGAGTTACGGATGACTCCTCCATCGTGAAGTCGAGTTCATCTTGAAATGATATGAAATTAAAGCCGTAGTTCGGAATTTGAATCGCCACGTGGCTTCCCGTTACCCTTCGGTCTTCTTCTCGGTTTAAAGACCTTGGATCGGAATTGAACTCAGAAATCTTCATTGACAGATAGCTTTTTCTTGACTTAAGCTATGTTGTTTGAAAATGGTTGCTTGTCACTAAGGCACGGCTAACCCAGGTCCTCTTCTCGACTTGAAAACCTCGACTGCAACCGAAAAGTAGTGCGATTGATGTGTCATCGAGCTGAATGGAGTCGAACTCGACAATTTTGATGGCAGATAATCCTTCTTTGAGTTGGATATCCTTCGTCGTGAAGTTGAAATCCAAGTAAGTAGCATTGTTCCAAGTCCAATATCCTCCGTCGTGAAGTTGAAATTGGCTCTGGAACCGGGAAATTGTTTGTTGACAACCAGCCTTCCCTTCGTTGTGAAGTTGAACTTGTGTTGTCTCGAGTCCAATATCCTTCGTTGTGAAGTTGAAATTGAATCTGAATGAAATTTTGTTGACAAGCAGTGGTCCCTTCGTCGTAAAGTTGAACTTGCGTTGTCTGGAGTCCAATATCCTTCGTTGTTGAAATTGGCTCTGAGATTGGGAAGTTGTTGTTGACAAGCAGCGGTCCCTTCGTCGTGAAGTTGAACTTGCATTGTCTGGAGTCCAATATCCTTCGTTGTGAAGTTGAAATTGGCTCTGAGATTGGGAAGTTGTTGTTGACAAGCAGCGGTCCCTTCATCGTGAAGTTGAACTTGCATTGTCTAAAGTCCAATATCCTTCGTTGTGAAGTTGAAATTGGCTCTGAAATTGAGAAGTTGTTGTTGACAAGCAGCGGTCCCTTCGTCGTGAAGTTGAACTTGCGTTGTCTGGAGTCCAATATCCTTCGTTGTGAAGTTGAAATTGGCTCTGAAATTGAGAAAGTTTGTTGACAAGCAGCGGTCCCTTCGTCGTGAAGTTGAACTTGCGTTGTTTGAAGTCCAATATCCTTCATTGTGAAATGAAATTAGCTCTGAAATTGAGAAGTTGTTGTTGACAGGCAGCGGTCCCTTCGTCGTGAAGTTGAACTTGCGTTGTCTGAAGTCCAATATCCTTCATTGTGAAGTTGAAATTGCGTTATCTGGAGTCCAATATCCTTCGTTGTGAAGTTGAAATTGGCTCTGAAATTGAGAAGTTGTTTGTTGACAACCAGCCGTCCCTTCGTTGTGAAGTTGAACTTGTGTTGCCTCGAGTGCCACGATATCCTCCTTCGTGGAGTTGAAATCGCAGATGGCCCCTTCGTTGTGAAGTTGAGCCTTGACTTGAATATCCTTCGTCGTGAAGTTGAAATCCAAGTATTGTATGTTGCGGGTGGACACAATTCCCTTCGCCGTGAAGTTGAAACCGTGGAGACCCCTTTATTGTGAAGTTTGGCTTCGAGCTAGATATCCTTCGTCGTGAAGTTGAAATCCACTTTCGAGCAAATCGTGTCGCTTTGAATTCAATATCCTTCGCCGCGAAGTTGAAATTGACTCTACCTAAAACCTGAAAAAGTTATGCATATATGTGATGCTATGGATGCAATGCTCTTAGGTGTGCCTAAAATGCATATGTAACATATGTTATCTTAGGGCTCTGGAGAGAAATCTCGATCTCCAGTTGCCTATCTGGAATCTTTATTCTTGAATCTTCAAATTTTGATCCCTGATCTTGAATTCTTCAAATGTTCAAATCTGATGTGCACATTCTATTTTTGATTTGAGAAATGCTTCTCGACCATCTCAAGTATGCCTGAGCTGAGTGTAACGGTTCAGATGATGCTTCAAAAGAAGTTGTCTTGAAAGAGATAGAATTCGTTTCAAGGGAAACGATCTCAAAGATATATGTTGTTTCATGAGAAATGGTCTCAAGGGAAACAAAATTATGTTTTAAGGGAAATAAATTTGAAGATTTTGTGTTTCAAGAGTAACTGCCTCAAGGGAGACAAAATTTGTTTTAGGAGAAATAAATTCAAAGATTTTGTTTCAAGGGAAACTGTCTCAAGATAGAAAATTGTTTCAAGAGAAACTGTCTCAAGAGAGACAAAACTTAGTTCCAAAAGAAACTGTCTCAAGAGAAACGGTATTTGTTTCAAAGAAAACATATTCAAATATTTTGTTTCAAGGGAAACTGTCTTAAGAGAGACAAAATTTATTTCAAGGGAAACTGTCTCAAGATAGACGAAATTTGTTTCAAGAGAAACTGTCTCAAGAGAGACAAAATTTGTTTCAAGGGAAACTGTCTCAAGAGAGACAAAACTCTTCTAGTGAAAACGATCTCAAGCGAGACAAATCTTGTTTTAAGAAAAACATGAGTGAAATAAATCTTCTTTCGAGTAAACAGTCCCAAGTGAGACAAAGTCTGTTTTTAAAAAAGCAATCTCAAGTGAGATAATCATCTGCATTAAATGAGATTGTCTCAAGCGAGACAGAATTTATATTGGAAATGTCGAATCTGAAAATGAATGTCGATCTTTCTATCTGTCGAGTTGGTTGAAGTGTAGCTTCTTGCTGCTGAGCTAAGCAACCGACATCAATCTGTAAAGGTGCTTTTGAATCGAGTATCCTTCGTCTTGAAGTCGAAACTTGACTCTAAAATCTGCAAAAATTATGTATGTGGGAAAAATGATGCTCTAAAATGTATGCATAAGATGCATATAACATGAATTGGTTATTTTATCTCTTGAAAAGGCCTGATAATTCGCATTAGGATGTTGAATCCCCAAAGATGCCCAAAAAAATACCCCAATATTTCATGTTGAATCTTCAAAGATGCCCAAAATGTTCCTCATTTCTTGCTTCAGCATTGATTCTGAGCATGAGTTTTGTGTCTAAGAGTCACATGTCATTTACCAAGATCCACTCTAGAGAGACTGTCTTGTTTGAAAAAAATGTTTTTCTTTCTCTTTTAATATCAATTAAAAGAGTTTCAAAAAATGTTTAATCCCAAGTTTTAAAAATATTTCCCCTTTCACGGTTTTACAATTGAGACGAATCATAAAGCTAGAGTTCATTGGATATCAAAGAATTAATTACAATGTTAATCCTTCAATAAATTATAGCTATTTGACAAGTGTCAAGATCAAAGCTATCTTTGAGAGATGGTCAAGTAAGGATAAAAAGTCTCAGGTCATTGTGTTTGGTCAAAGGTTTCGCATTTGATGCTCAAAGGTTTGATATTTGATGCTCAAAGGATTGATGGGGTAGCTTGCATG